ATCTTAAAAACTTTTTTTTTAATTTTAATATTATATATAATAATAATATTAAATATATATATATATATATATATATATATATATATATATATTATATATATATAATATATATATATATATATATATATATAAATATATATAATTTTGGCAGGCTCTCGACGGGAACATGCTAAAATATCGGGGTTTCGATCCCAGGATAGAAAGCAGTATTGTTATTTGCTTAAAATCACTCGTTCGTGAATTCATTAAAAACGTGTACTGCTCGTGAAAATGGTTTTCCCAAAAACAGAAGGAGAATGAAATTAGTTATGTAGCTTCCATGGCCACGTACGGGGCATGCATCAGGGATGGACATGTCCAGGGGTACTGGACATCTGATTGTGAAGCATTGATGGTCAAGTGGACTAAGGCGTCTCTGAATTTTGGTTGGCTTTTTGGTGAGGACAGATATCGGAGTTCGAAGAAGAAAAATTCATTCCTAGTGCTAAAAAAAATAACTAACATCGGACACTGTCGTCCTAACCCCTTTGGGACTGCATCTCAGATGTCGAAAAAATCTTTGTATCAGCGTTTGAAATTACAAATTACGGTAAACTGTAACATCAATAATGATACCGTGACTAACAAGCACGCTGAAAAATATCACACGTTTTTTCCAGTTGCTGGATGACCCTGAGTGTGCTCAGTACGTTGACGGTACAGCCGTCCACTGGTACTCGGACCCCGAAAGTCAGCGCTACTGTTCTGGACGAGACCCACAAAACTTTCTCCAAAAAGGTTCATTCTTTTACTCTGAGGCCTGTTTTAGTAAGTACGAAAATTTTACATAAAAAAATAAAGGATTTAAGGCGCAAGAATGGTTTAAGAACCTTCATGTGGGGTGCAAAAGGACAGTGTATTTCACTAAACTTTTAAAGTAAATATAAAAAATGCCAATATTATCAAAAGTCGGCAGTCGCGTGCCATAAAACCTATCCAGACTTGACAAAACTATGAGCATATAAGTAAGACACGTGCAAGAGTTAGGTTTTTCCTTATTCCGAAACGTTTCGCCTAACTATTGCACGTGTCATATTATCTGCTTGTTGGTATTGTATACCATTATCGTATTTAACAAAGCTATGCCAGAGTAATGTTAAACCTGCCTATTACCATGGGTTTGAGCTTGTGGATAAATTTTTAGGCCATGAAAATATAGATCTGAAAATATTGCTCATGCCACTAAAAATATAAGAATATATAGAGGAAAACACTTGTATGAGGAGTTTTATTGGACAAGCTTCCCCTCAAGTGAGAGCTTGATATTCTGCAAAGTACCCCCATAGTAGCATTTATACCCACAGTAGTTTCTATACCCCCAGTATTATCTATACCCCAAGGATTATCTATACCTCTGTTTGACTTGATAAAGGCACACTTGAGCGTAAACTTATCTATTAGACTAAGTTGCCGAGTACTTTGTTTTACCTTACGTTCCCTAAGTTTCAGGCTTTATAATCTTGCAGGATTCTTCTACAAATTTTGTCTCATTAACCACATTATTTTAATTTTTTTTTTACTGATTTTCTGAGGCGAGAGAAAATTATCATCACTAGTTTTCGCAGTTTTTTAAAACTAAGACTCAGAGTCGTTTTACAGACTACGACTTTACACAAATTGGATCATGCAGCGAGGAGAGGAGTGTGCAAAATCAAGTTTCTGAAGTAAGAACTAGTTCATCTGCTATTAAAAAAAAAAAAATAAAAAAACCGTGACTGGACGTCGTCCAGACTTCATTTCTGATTTATGTGGTTATTGTGATTTTACTCCCTCATTCGTAAGTCAATTTTTATAGTTAAAAAAGAACTCAGTTTTTAATCATGTTATTCAAAGGCTGCATCAGTCCAGCTTCGCTCCCAAAGATTTGCAGTTTTTATCACGTAACTTAAATCCTTTCCACGTCTGCATCGTTCTTAATTTTCTTACTTAAAGCAATTGTTCTTAATTTTGTTACGTTAAACAATTGCTCTTAATTTTCTTACGTAAAGCAATTGTTCTTAAATTTTGTTACGTTAAACAATTGCTCTTAATTTCTTACGTAAAGCAATTGTTCTTAATTTTGTTACGTTAAACAATGCTCTTAATTTCTTTACGTTTAAAACAATTGTTCTTAATTTTTTTTGTTAACTTTAAACAATTGCTCTTAATTTTCTACGTAAAGCAATTGTTCTTAATTTTGTTACGTTAAACAATTGCTCTTAATTTTCTTACGTAAAGCAATTGTTCTTAATTTTGTTACGTTAAACAATTGCTCTTAATTTTCTTACGTAAAGACTATTTATAGTGACTCAGGGTTTAAGCAAATTGAACAAAATGTTTGTGTATTTGTATATACTATGAAAATTTTTGCTGCGTCAGTATAAACAAATATTAAGGTATTTTCTATCACACTTCCACAAGTACTGAAATCCTTTACTGAAAAAATTTTCATGTTAGAAAAGACAAGTAAAAATATGATTATTAAATTTTCCAATGTGTCATTTATTCTTCATTGTAAAATGTAAAACAGATTTCCTAATAGAGAAAAACTGTACATGGAGCGTATTTCTACAGGCTGTAAACCACTACTCGGCTGGCTGGGTGGACTGGAACAGGGCTCTGAACTTGTTTGGTGGACCCAATTGGGCTTTCAACATGCTTGATGCCCCTGTCATCATTAATGTTGTTAGTATAACTCCTCATTATCGTTCTATCTATTGACGAGAGATGAAGGAGTAATTGCTCCTAACACAAGAACGTTGTCTACATTTAATAGTTTGGTCCAGTTTATTACTAATAGTTCGGTCGGTGCATCTCATGAAAGTCGGCTGCTCTGTACTTGGGAACTATCATAATATTAATTTTATCTCAAAGCTTAGAGGCGGAGGAAATGTTATTGAGGTGATGTGGCCATTTAGAAAGGTTGAAGCAGAAGAGGATGACAGAGGGTGAATAAATTTGGCTATAAAGAATGAGGGATCGGAGTTGTCTCTGGAAGGATTGGAGAAAGGCTCGGAGTAAGTGGACACAAGTGTTTTTTTAAGGTTTGACGTGCTGTTGGAGTGTGCAAGGTGACATTTATAAACAGATTCAGGATAAACCTGTTAGCCAGATCCTGGAGGTGGGAAGTACAGTGCCTGCACTCTGAAGAATAAATGTGAATGTTGCATTTCGGAGCGCTATTTGAACTGTAATGCCTGTTTACATCTAGTAAACTAGTTATTGAATGAATGATGGTGAAATTGTTTTCCTTTTTAGAAGCCACCCTTTGGCGGTAGAAGACGCCTGGCATAGTAAAAAAAAATTTTTGTCATTTTTGTGTGCAACAAATATTTCACGTAACGTCCACATGGCTGCACCAATATTAAATGTAGAGTATTCTGAACAAGAAATTCAAAGGAAATTTTATTATATTTTGCATCCCAATATTTTTGTAAAACGGTTCATAAGTTATGTCTCCTGTAAACTGTTTTTTTTTTATCTAAAAATTATAATACAAACAATTATTAGCAAGACGGTCTTTACGGCACTGCAAAATATAACTCTTCAGTGGGATCATAAACGGTACAAAAACATTACATATGATCCACAGGATGAGGGAGAGTTCTACAAGCAACCAATGTTCTACGTTATGGGTCACTTCAGTAAATTCGTGGTGGATGGTGCTGAGCGAGTGTCCTCCTCCGCCACCAGCGACACACTTGAAACTGCTGCCTTCATTGACCCCGCAGGCAGCACTGTTGTCCTTCTTCTCAACAAGTAAGACAATGTATGATTAAGTAAGATTCGTCGGGAAACAAGACAAGTGTTTCCTGAAGCGGGTCTTAGTCATGTGATGACCCGCCACTGGAGCTGTTGGTCAGTTGACCTAATCCTTCCACAAGCTTACCGGTACAAAACCCTTTTAAAAAAAATCTTATTTATTAGATTGTTAGATTTTAAGCCTTTCGACTGCACACATGTATCCTGTGATTCTTTACAGAAGCGTCCTAAATGCATTCACGATAATTAAATTTATTAGTAAGAGATGCTGACCACATTTCACAGATTTCTTTAGGTTCGGTTAATAATTTTAAATTCAGATTACTCCGACAAAATTTTCATAACCCAAATAACATATTTTATTATGTTCATTTGTAAGTTTTCATTTTTCTTAGCTTATCCAGTATTCGAAGCTATAAAAACAGTTTAACTGATATTTGGGTTTCAGAGGTGGGGAGCGAAGTGGACGTCTCTGTGACTGATGGTGCTGACACTTTCCTTAACTATAAGATGCCTGCCAAGTCCATCCAGACCATCTTACATTAATGTCATGCTGAACTCGGCAATATTCTTCCACCAGTTAAGAGCTTTCAGTACTTCTTCTATTAACATCCTCCAAGACCTGATCTTTCTGTATGAATGATAGTCAAGATCCAGTGAACTCCATGAACTGATCTGATTCAGTTTTTTTACCAGACAAAAAAGTGTTCGAAAGAAACCTGGGCTTACCAGTATCTACACAGGTTTAAAAGAACAAAGTTTAAATAAACATAATATTTCATGTATTTATATTTGTTTTATAACCATCGTTTATGAACCCATTAGTTCGAAAAGTGATAGACAACGTAACAATTAAGCATATATTACAAAGCATATGATTCGTACTTAATACATAATCTCTGTTCAGCAGATAACCCCAGAAATATCTCGTGAAGGACTGGTGAACGAAGGTACTAGAGATAACAAGAGATCTTGATTCTTTCCACGGAACAGCTTTAACATGGAAGACTGCAACAACGTTCCGTTCTCTTCTAGGTTTAACTACAAACATCCTGGAGAAGAGACGCTATCCGAGTTTTACGTCACCGTATTTTAACAGAAAGTGTACAGATCGCGAATTCCTTAGATAAGATTTGACAGTAGTAATTAGTAGTAAAAAGAGAGAGAAACAACTTTGCAACTCGAGATCAGTGATTCAATAAATGTGGTCTTCGGCATGGAGACGAATAATTTTTTTTTTTAATTTGGAAAAAAAAGTTGGTGAAAAAGGGTAAAAAAAATTTGACCCTTTTAAAAATAAAAAAAAAAATTTTTCGGCATTATGAAAAAAATTTCGAAAAAATTTGTTTGGAAATTTTTTTTCAAATTTTTAAAAAAAATTAATCAAGTTTTTTTTTTTAAAGCTTTTTTTTAAAAAACCCCAAAAATTTTAATTTTTTAAAGGGTCTTATCCTTCGGGGTCCCCAAAATTTAAACCAAAAAATTTTAAAAAAATGATTTTTCCCTCGGTGTCCCTTTACCCCCAACCCCAAAATTTCCCGAGGGGGTATCCTTTTTGGGGTTCCACTAGGGTTTTCCGGTCTGGGGACCCTGGATCATTTTTCCAAAAATTTTTCTTCCTTTTCCGGGGATCCCCCTCCCACCCACCCCCCCCCAAACCCCCAACACCCCCCCTTCCCGGACCCCCTCCCCCCCCCCCCCCCCCCCCCCCCGCCCCCCCCCCCCTTCCAAACCCCCCTCGGTTCGTTTTTGAGGTCATTTTTTATTTCCCCCCCCCAATTTTTTTTTCCGAAATTTTTTTTAAAGTCTCCATCTCCTAGATCAAATTTTTGGGTTCCCCTCCACTTAAACCCCCACCCAAAATTTTCTAAACAAATCCCCATCCCCCCTGGTTCCCCCCCCCCCTTTCCCCCCCCAAAAAAAATTTTTTCTCCATCCAGGGGCTCTCTCCTGGTAAAAATTTTTTGGATTTCCCCCTCTATGGGGGTTTCGACGCCCCTAAATAAAGGTTTCCCCCCTCCCACTTTCTCCCCCCCCAACCCAAAAAAATTTTTAAATAATTTCCCACCCCTGGCCCCCCCCTCCCACTTTCCCAAACCCCCAAAAATTTCCCAAAATTTTTCCCCCGGTTTCCCACTTTCCCCCCAACCCCCAAAAAATTTTTAAACTTTTTTGGTTCCCCCCAAAAATTTAACTCCCCCCAAAATTTTCCAAATAAAAACTCCAACCCACCCCCCCCCCATTTCCCCCCCCATCCCAAAAAATTTTCTTTAAAGTCAAAAATTTGGGGACCCCTCCCCCTTTCACCCCCCCCAACCAAAAAATTTTCGTAAACAACTCCAAAATTTTACAATTTTTTGAGGTTAATTCCCCACTTTCCCCCCAACCCCAAAAATTTCTCAAATAAATTATCTCCTAAAAAATTTGGAAACCCCTCTAAAACCACCCCCCCCAAAAAATTTTTTTCAAAAAAACCCCACCCTTGACATTTTTTACCCCCCAGGGGGAAACCTTTCAAAAAACCCTTTGGGGGGGGTCTCCCCTTACAAGGGGTTAAAACAAAAACAGAAATTCCCCTTCAAAAACCCCTCAAAAACCCCAAACCCCTAAACCCCCAAAACACCTGAATCAAAACACCCTTTTTTCTTTTAAAATTAAATTTGGGAAACCCACTCAAAAAAAAATTTTAAAACTCTTAAAACCCATTAATCCAAAAAACACCTTTTAATACCCCAAATTTTTTTACCCAAAAAACTTTTTTTAAAACCCCCCCCAAAAAACCTACCCCCCCAAAACCCTCCACACCCCAAAACCAAAACCTCACAATTTTACCAAAAAAACCCCCATTTTTTTTTTTTAAAACCTTTTTGAAAAAAATTTGGGAACTAATAAACCCCAAAACCTTAAACACCTTAAAAATTAACCTCAAAAACATTTACATTAAAACCACCTTGAACATCAAAAAAACACCTTCAAAACATTTGAAACTAAAACATAAACACCTTTGAACAAAAAAAAACACTTTTAAACCCCCCAAAAATTTAAACATTTAAAAACCCTGCATTTAAAAAACACATTTATTTTAAATTTAAACCAAAACCCCGTTAAACCCAAAACATTTTTCCCTTTTAAACCCCTTAAAAACCCTTTAAAAAATTTTGAAACCACCTTTAAAAAAAACCCCTTTGCATTTTCCAAAAATCAAAAAACTTTAAAAAAAACAATTTTTACTTTTACACCCCAAAAAAACCTCAAACCCCTTTGAAACCCCCTTAAACCCCTTAAAACCCCTTTTTAAACCCCCTTCAAAAACCCCTTTGAAATTTTTTAAACATTTCACAAAACCCTTAAAACATCTTTTTTGAAAACTCAAAACATTTTTACCCTTCAAAAAAAAAATTTTACCCCAAAAAAACCCCCCTTAAAATTAAAAAAACACTTTGTAACCAAAAAATTTTTAAAAAAAAAAAAAAAAACCCCTCAAAACCCCCTTAAACCACCAAAAAAACAAAAAAACCCCAAAAAACACCCCCCCCAAAAAAATTTTTTCCCCCCAAAAAAAGTTCATTAAATTTTTGGGACACAATTTCAAATTTTTACAAACCACCCCAAAACCCAATTTTTTCTCGTTTTTTAATTTTCAAAAATTAAAACAAACATAAAAAAAAATTTACAAAAAAAAAAACCAAACCCCTTTTTTTAACACCCCCCAAAAACACCCAAACATTTAAATACTCCCAAAAAAAACCCCCAAAAACCCCTATAAAACACCTTTTGAATAATCAAAACAATTTTCAAAAAACCCCTTAACTTTTTTTTTGGAACCTTTTCAACACTCCCCCCTTCCCAAAAATTTACCTTTAACCAATTCAAACTGACCTTTTCCCCCCCCCCCCCCCCCCCCCCCCCCCCCCCCCCCCCCCCCCCCCCCCCCCCCCCCCCCCCCCCCCCCCCCCCCCCCCCCCCCCCCCCCCCCCCCCCCCCCCCCCCCCCCCCCCCCCCCCCCCCCCCCCCCCCCCCCCCCCCCCCCCCCCCCCCCCCCCCACCAAACTTTTCCCTCCTTTCCCAAAAAAAAAACAAAATTTTTGGTACCCCCAATTTACACCATGATTACTAAAAAAAACCCCGGAATTCAATCAAAAAAAAACCCTTCAACACCTTCAAACACCCTTGAACCAAAACAAAAAAACAGCCTTCAACACCTCAAAACCCTTTGAACACCTTAAAAAAACACCTTTGAACACATTAAAAAAACACTCTCAAAAACTTTTGGGAACACACTCAAAAAACCCCCTTTTTAATAACTAAAAAACCCCCTTTGAACACCTAAAAAAACACCCTTAAACCCACCCTTTTGTTCACCTTTCAAAAAAAAAACTTCGAACACCTCAAAACACCTTTTGAACACCTTTAAAAATTTTTTCCAAAAAACCGAAAAACACTTCCAAAAAACACCATTTGAGTATCCCAATTACACCACTGAATACTAAAACACCCGAAAAACTAAAAAACCCCACCAAAAATCACCAAAAAACAAGATAAAACCCCCACACCCCCAAACACCCAAAACCCCACAACACCCAAAATTTTTTCTGTTTTATCAATTTATAGAAAGAAAAAAACACCCCCCACCCCCCATTTTTTTCTCGTTTTAACCCTTTTAGTTCATTAAATTTAATAAGGGGCCACCTACTCAAAAAAAAGTCACAAAAAAACCCATTTTTAAAACGTCTTTTCGGATCTCTAGTTCGACAAAACACCCCATCCCAATCACCCACATAACATCCCCCACAAAACCCAACAGACACAACACACACACAACATCCCTAAACCTAGCCAAACCTAACCCTTTATCCAAACTAACCTAAAACCTAACCAACCTAACCTAACCAAAACCTAACCAACCAAACGAACTTATCCAAACCCTAGCCTAACCAAACCCTAACCTAACCTTACCTAACTTATCCTAACCAACCCCAACCTAACCTAGCCTAATTTAACCTAACTTAACCAAACCTAACCAAACCTAACCAAACCCTACCCTAACCAAAACCTTATAACATAACCTAACCTAGCCTCCCCTAACCAAAACCCTAACTTAACCTCCCCAACCTAACCTAACCTACCTAGCCTAACCTAATTAACCAACCCCTAACCTACCAACCAACTTACCAAACCTAACCTAACCTTTTTTAAACCCTTCCCTAACCTAACCTAGCCGAAACCTTCCAAACCAACCTAAAATATTAGAACACTTCCAAAATACATTAGAGACCCCCAGAATTATTTTGAACGACTCCATTTTTTTGGATATTTTCCAAATTATTTTTTGAAAAATTTAGAAAAATCGAAATTTTTTTCTTGTTGGTAAACAAATCAATGGTAGAAATATTTCTCGTTTTTCCCAAATTTAAAACACTTTCCTCGCTCTGAGGACTCATTGTGGTCCCCCCTTCCCCCCCCCCCCCCCCAACACCACTGGGGTAAGCGGTTCACCCCCAAAGGGTAGATTTAAGAAAACATGAACACCTGCGCCAACTCAGGAC